GGCTTCACTTGGAATATCTAATTGGCGCCACGTAGCGAAAAGAAGAAACGACTGGCGCGCTGTTGTTAACTCGGCTATAATCGCGTAAGCGGTGATTACGCCAATCAAGAAGAAGAATCTTCAAGAAGTAAATGCTAAAGAATGTTTTTTCGCATGATATTAAACATTCCCCTTTCAATTTGAAGTATCCGCGTTTTTTCTTTAAAAAGTAGGGAAGCTGCAAACGGGTCACCCTTTATATAAATAGCTTTGATTTGCATATTTTAGTTTAGTTTTACTATTGCGAATGGTTCAAATGATAAATGAATATCCAAATTTCATCTTTTCTTGTATTTTTAAAACTTAAAACTAGAAATCAAATGTAATAATTTACAAACAAAAAAACAAATAAATAGTTACGGCAACGTTTCTTAATGCGAAATGAAATAATTTCTACACTAAGAAATAATTTTAAAACTAATACGTATACAACAAAAGACATGTTGGCGCAGAGTTGCATCACAAGCGCTGCTCGTGTGTTTGAGCATCTCTTATAGTTTGTTCGATTCGCTGGTGAGTAATCTTTTTCAAATTCAAGACGTTTAAAGCAAATTATTATGAATATCGTATTGACTCCGTTCTTTACAAATACAAAGAAATGCTCAATATGAATTTTACACTCACTGTTTTTACAGTTCCAGCACAGAAAGCATACTGCTCTCACCTTAACCTAATTTTTCCAAGCTTTCCAGCTATCACACAGATCGTTTCCAAACTGAAATTAAACTCAAATTCAAGTAGATCGTAATTCACACCAGTTTGAAATTTTATTTCGCAATTCAGCGCAACATTTACAATATTTAATTTGGTTGCTATACTTAAACTTATCGCAGCTTAAAAGTATTCGTAATAATTTCATTCCAATAAAATCGCATTCCATATCCGGCCAGTGCAACAAAGTTATGGAATTATTATAAAACACTACTTATTAAAGATAATGCCAGAGTTGCATGCTACAGCCACAAATTCTGCTTACACTCTGTGGGCTTTGTTTATGGGTTAGCTTTTAGGTAGCTAAAACAAGTACATATTTACAATAATTTAATGTTGCAGCAAGCAGAAATACTAAATTTTAAGATGCTTTGTTTATATTTTTCGTTAAAATGTAGTTTTAGCATTTACTTACAGCCTTGTTCATAACATATACATACACACGCTTAATGTTAAGATTTCAACTCATATTACTATATAATGATTAGATATATATATGTGTGTGTGTGTAATTGGTACATTTAAAACGTAACTAACCTCACTTAACGGTTATACAGACACACTCAGCTATGCTCGGGCACGTAAGTACACACGCTTGCACAGGCTCATCGCTAATCATTTAAATCGGTAAACGTAGGGGCTCAGCAGGTTTACAAATTTAAATGAGTATTATTTGTTCATTTCCTTTCGACTTGCCACTAACTCTTACTCGCCTTTCAGTTAAAACACACTTCACTATAATTTCAAGTGTATATATATATTTTTTTTTTTTTTTTTTTTTTTTTAACTATAAAATCTTAGAATTTCATATTTAATTTGCTACATTAAATTTGGTAGTTGATGAAGCTTACAGAAGCGTTTCGTACGAACTAAATAAGCTAAGAGTAAAACCGCGCTCACATAGACACTTGCTACTAAGTCGTCTAAAGCGTAAGTCGTCAGATTTTCATACTTATTTGCACAAATTGTAATTTCTATTTATTTTACCAAAGGCTTACTTAGCGCAACTGCATTGAACGGCGTAGTGCGGGCTTAAATATATTTTTTAAGTAGAGTGCTCAGGTTGCTATGTACACAAGTTGCTGGCATTGTGCTGCTGTGGTTTAAGGCTTTCCATTAAATTAAGCCTTGAGCTAATTGAAGGTCTATTTCGTGTGGGAATTGTATGTACATTTGACTTAGCAGCTTAAATATCCTAAAGTGCGCCACAGTTATAACAATGAGAAACTTAGAACAATAGGTGCTTAGCAGACATCGATTAACTAATTTCGAGCTTAGCTTATGTACAAACAATTTTATGTTTTCACAATATTTTTGCATTTAAATCAGCTTAATAACACTTTGCTTATTTATTATATTTATTTCAATTTCTCCCAAATATGCTGTGTAAAAATATACTTCGAATACCTATAGTTGCATTTCCGCCACTAATTACCCTTAATTACACATAAGTTATACCGAGACTTTCGCGCGCTCACCTTCCTCGTTTAGCACTCTAACCTCATTCCTTGCCGCGTCTTGTGCGGCCACCACCACCACAACCGACTCTTCGGCTATAATATCAACGTTCGTTTTGTATTCGCTACGCCGTCGCGTTTTATTCGCCACCTTGGCGGCCATTGCACCATTTCGCCATTTGCTCGCGCCACCAGCAGCAGCGCCGCGAAACGGTACCCACATCACCATTTACTAGAGCACAGTCTCGTTAGTGTTGGTGCATGAGCGTGGTCCATTGACAATGGAGTATTTCGATGAAGCATCCTTTTTGGTGAGAAAGGGACCGAAAAATATATCTTTGAAGGTTTCACGAAACTGCCGCGACATGCCGCAGTAGATGCCGAAGTTGATCGGATAGCTGACAACGAGGAAGAAGTTCGTAAACATTATGGAAATATTGGCCATGCGATAATTCAGAAATTCGCCCATTAGCGAGGAGAAGATGTGCAGCACCGTCACCACAGCTATGGGTATTTCAACAGCTAGAAAGACCGAAACGACCGTAATTAGCATGTATGTGGTGCAGTTGCTGTCGCGCACCTTGCGGCTCTCTACTTTCTTATTATCGCGAAAGAGCGCTTTGCGTCGTTCCTTCGCTTCCTCCATGGCTTGCCAGAGCAGCACATTCAGCGTGACGAGTAGAATGCACGGTACCACGTGCACGAATACTACGCGGAATAGAAAATATATGGAAAAGTAGAGGTCTTCGCCGACATAATTGTATACCCAATCGGAGGTTTCCACGTGGCACACTTCCGTTTGCTGGCCGTTCCATTCGATGGTGACCGGGAAGTAGGTGCGATCGAAAAACCGTGTCAGCTGATGCAAGAAAGCGGCGAGGGCGATGTAGATTGTTGATCGTTTGACGCGTGGCATGGTGCACCATGTACGTGCCATGGGAGCGTGACACACGTAGATGTACCTATTAACAACATAAAGAAGAGGTTGGTGTAGAAAGCATTAGTTATGGATTTAATCTGTAGTAGGATTATTATTTCATTAAATTAGAGCTAACTTAATTAAAATAATATTTCATCTAAGAATTTCTTAAACAGGTGAAGCAATTTTAATCAAAATATACTGTAAAAACTATCATAATTTTAGCTTTTTAATTTTTGATCAAGAAAACTTAATATCTTCAGAATTTTGGCGCAGTTTATACTCTTTCAATACCCTACAAATCATAATAATCGGAGCTTACTCTATCCATATAAAATACAAAATGTCATGATTCTTTAGACTTCCAAAGTGATATCATAACAAATACTCCGGCACATCGGAGTAAATTAAGCATATTTTATTGGTCTATATTTTATTAAAATTGAAAACCTAATATTAAAACTCTTAAAGCAACATATTCTCACAGTTATTGTTATAAATATTAAGCGCAAAACGGACAAAGTGTTTATGGATGTCAAGATTGTAACATTCCAATCATACTCGTATAGTTCCAATGGTCCTATTAAAATAACATTTCGGCTCAAATTGGACATAATACGTGTGGGATATATTATATATCAGATGTAACCGAACATTTCGTACTCTCACAATTAATATCACATCTATGAGAGTTGCACTCGGATCGGAAAGACCAAATCGATCATGTTGTGATATACGTAAGACACGCGTCCAGAATTTTAGACGTGCGTACGCCCCGAGATCCTAGCATCAACTCGGACCTTGTAGCCAAGATACGCACCCGCATCTGTGCAGCAAGAAACGCACGTCAACAAACACAAGGAAGGTTCGACGTCGAAAAGTTGTAATCACAACGGACAGCCAACCAATTTTCTACCCCCCCCCTCTCAACATCACATCACTTAGGTTCTATCAAGTATATTATGTGAAAGATGAAACCCCACCGTCAACAAACTGATTGGACCTTATCAGTGTGGCTTTAAGCCTGGAAAATCAAAAACTGACCAGATATTTACCATGCGCAAAATCTTGGAAAAGACCAGTGGAAAGAAGATCGACACACACCACCTCCTCATAGCGGATAATTTAAATTTGCTTTAATTTTGAGGCACTTTGTATTCAATATTAATATTAAGTTAATTTCGGGACAACCTTTTTTAACTCTATGTGTATGTTGATACAAAAACACACAGTTTCCTTAATAAAATGGAGAGAACGTGTTTCTCTTATAACGGTATACATTTGTGAATAAAATCAGGTGAAAACTCGTCATAGACCCCATATACGAGAAGTTAACAAACCTAGATACCTTTAATCCTTGCATGTTCAAGAGTATAAAATGTTCAGCCATACCTGAAACTAACTCTTCCTTACTTTTTTAAATTAATTACTGTCTTCGACGGTTATTTTTTCCATAATGCTTCTGTATTACTTGCAAATCAATTGGATTTCAGAACAGTTTCATTTTCTTGCTTATTTTCACCGTACATAGTAGTTATACCGGGAAAAGAAGGAAGGAAGGAATAGTATTATTAGGAGAACGTAATATGCCAGATTTGCAATAATTGTATTTTGAAAAATACATTTGCTTAATTACTGAAAGCCATATAATGACACAAATTTCAAACATTTTCCGTTTCCTAATCGTTTTATTAAATTCAAAAACTCTCTATGTATGCTTAACATATTAACTAAGGTATTAATTTTTAACTTTTCCTTTATACGCCTTCCTGTTGCTTTGATTACAACTGAATCTGAATCTGCGAACAACGCTCGATTTTTGGTCCTTTGATTCTGCTAAAACAGTTATGTATCTCAATTGAACTAGCTACCTTCGTGGTAAGTAAAATCTTTCATTGAATGGTACTTAAACCCTGTTATTTTTAACAGGCATACTAATGCAAATTTCCAGATGCGTTTCTAAGAAGGACATGACAACGACAAAAAGCCCCAGTAGCTGTTTATAACAAACGCCAGCACACTTCACTTCAAATTCGTTTTTTCTCCAAAAGAGAGCAGTGATTCGAAAGCCCAGAATATGCTCGCAAAAGCATATAAAAAGGCCTGGAGTAAAGTATTTGTAAGCGATCAGCCAACATGTAATGTCATTGACAACTTTTTCCATTCTCTGAGGTCAACTTCAATGGGCAATTTGCTAGTAAAGTCCCACACAGTTTATGTTGTTGTTGCTGTTGGCATTATTGTTAATATACATGCTTGTAGTTAAAGATTTCATGATAAAGAATAGGCTAAACCAATTTTATGACAGCAATGACTGTCCGATGGGGAGCGATTGACAGTTAAATCCATAAATGAAATGCGTAAATTATTCAGAGCATTGAGTAAGGATGTGGGCTGTGGGCTGTGCGAATCGTTTATGTCGCTGGAAAAAAGGACATGTTGAAAACTTTTGTCTTTTTTCTTTGTGCTTTGACAATGACAGCACCGCTTACTTGGTGCTCCTTACTGAAGAAATGCTAATGCCAATAATTTCTTCTATCCGTACAAGAGGATTTACTATTTTGCTATCCAAAGCCCAGATGTTACAGTGAATATACTTTTGTACGAGTATTATGAAAGTATGATTTATGCGCTTGTCTGAACCGTTTCTGCAGAAATATTGAAAGCTGGTTTTCATTTGACTTATTAGACCAAAATAACAAGTAACATTGATTTGCTTTCAATATAATATTATTCTTCAGTAGGAATAAACTCCCATTGTAACTCGTTATAATTTTTCTATGGAATTTTACTGAATTTTCAATCATTAGCATGGCAATGTAATACTTAGTGTAAATACAATGTAATACATAGTGTAAAACTGCTATTGAGATATACAAAGTTGAGTAGCTAAATAGTGATGTGTTGAATACAATGCTCGCGACAGACTGCAAACGACATCTGTCAAATATTAAAATGGATTCTTATGGACGGACATATTTTGACAGCTGCACGACTGCACGACTGCAGGCCGACAGTTGTCGTTCTCGCTAACTTCAATTTAATAATATATTTGCCAACGACAGTAGGACGACAGTAGAGATGACAGTAGAATGGAAGATAGAGCAATGAGGAAGATTGATGATGCCACTAGTATGTAAAATGTAAAATTACTCAAAGCCCTAACAAACCTGCTGCCCTCTCACAAACGTTCATATAGTCGGATTCACAACGTCATTTTCAGTTCACTGTCGTGCTGTTGCAGTCTGTCGCGAGCATTGTGTTCCGCACATGACAGTTCGTTTCGTTTATAACGTGCCGAGTGGCAATCTGACTGTCTGTCCTTATTTGTAACGTCATACTTAATTCAAACTATACTTTAATTTTTCGAATGGAAAGCTTTCCGAATAAAAAATATTGCGCAAAGGGAGCAGTCAAATTAATACGAATGACGTCGAAACCGAAACGGTCAAAGTGATATTATTATACTCTCGCAACAAAGTTGCTAAAGAGAGTATTATAGTTTTGTTCACATAACGGTTGTTTGTAAGTCCTAAAACTAAAAGAGTCAGATATGGGGCT